CTACAGCATTGTTCAAATTAACTACTTTGACTGGAATTTGTATCCACTATTGAAAGTATAGAATTGAAGCCTCCTAATATTACTATATTATTGACAGTTTCTCTCTGTAGATCTGTTAATATTTATTTTATGCATTTAGGTGTTTGATGTTGGGTCCATGTCTTGTTGAATAGAAATAGAGAAAAAAAGGAAATAAATAGAAAAAAATAAGACCAGTAAATAGAAGAAGAAAAAAGTAACCAAATGACAAAAGTAAGTTCTTACTGATCAACGTGACTTCAAATGTAGGTGGATTGAACTCCCCAATGAAAACACAGAGAGTAGCTAAGTAGGTTCTTTTAAAAATGATAGCTTGCTATGCTGTCTACAGGACATGCACAGGCTGAAATCAATGACATGCACAAAGATATTTGATGCAAATTGTAGTAAAAAGAAAACAAAGATGACAACACTTACATGACACAAAATATACTTTATGTTAAAACTGATCATCTTTATAGAGATAAAGATGATCACTATATAATGATGGAAGACTGAATTCAAGAGAAATATATAATAATTACAAAATTACATAATTTAAATAATATTTCTGCCAACTTTTTTTTCTCTTATCCATCTTAAATTCTCATAATGCATGTATTAGTCCATTTGGTGTGGTCCTGTAACTACTATAGGCTTTCTTAGCTGCTTTTCATTCTTTTCTTAGCATCTTCCAGAACACGTATAATGTTTATTAACTATAGTTGCCACGTATTGCAATAGAGCTCTTGAACTTATTCCTTTGATCTAACTGAAATTTTATATCCTTTGACCAATAGCTCCCCAACTCTCCCTGAGCCTCTAGTCACCATATTTCTATCCTACGCTTCTATGAGTTTAACATTTTTAATTTTCCCATATAAGGGAAACCATGCAGCATTTGTCTTTTGAGCCTAGTTTTATTTCCTTATTTCTTGGTTGAAAAACACCATATTTCTGGTTGAGCTTATGAGAAACTGCTCAGTGTGTTTCAACATCTGTGTGCTTTCTACTGTGTTATCTTTGGTTGGATGTTGGTGAATTTGATACAACTGGGGTTTTCAATTGCCTGGAGCATTTTTGCTTTCTGTTTGAGTAATTTCTTGTTAATTGAGAGTGACCATGAAATCCTATAGTGCACTTGGACATACTTTTGGAAAAGTGCAGATGATTGGATTGAATTTGCAACAGGGTAGACTACAAATGTTGGAGTGTTCACACAGGTACTTTTTTGCGCTGTTCACCAAGTAGTGTTGTCCAGCTCAATCTCAAACTTATCCATCTTCCCAAGAACCACCCTTACTTTTCTCACCCAGACCTTGAAGAAGATCTTTAGGCTTTAACTTGATAATCGTTTCCTTAGGAAGATCTTCCTTGAACACTCTCACTTCCACCCATTGTAAGCCTTGGCCCGTTGAATAGACATATAGCACCATGTCTTTTCTTATAGAGCTTACCACTATTTTATTTTTGTGTATTTATTTATTTATTTATTTATTGCAGTGCTAGTGAACCTAGGACCTCATGCTTTGTAGGCAAGCACTCTGCCACTACGACCCATCTCCAGCCCAACTACTTTTTGTTTTTTTAATAATTGAATTTTTGCATCCTGAGTCCAGAGGCACTATCTGGACTTTGATGGCAGACTTTTTTGTTTTAAATACTAGTTCTGCCCCTAATACACTTTTAATATCTGATAAATTAAACTCAAAGTGCCTTAGTCTCCTCATCTGTGACAGGAATGATAGTACCTATCATAAAGGGTACCATATGCAATGTGTTTAATAAAGGGCTTGGTAAATTATATTGAATAGTTAGTTATCATCATTGTTACAGGATGACACTGTGCTGATACATATTAATGCTTAAAGAACATTTGTTAAAAAGAGAGAGAGAGAAATCACTCAGGTTTTGACTGCAGCCCGATGGTTATTCCAGTCCCCCAGATGAATGCAAACTTTTATCAAAAAGGTTGTTCACAAAAAAAAAGTCACTCACTAGCAAAGAGACAGTAGGAGGATGGGATAAGTCATTGAGCTTTTGGTAAAGGTTCCTAAAAATTGCTCTTATCTGGGGAAATAGCGTTGGGGGAGTTGCCCACTTGTATAAACCTCATGTACCTGTACTGTGAGAATTGAAGGACTTCAGAAGTCAGGGAAGTGAAGATTTCTGGGAAGAACTAGTCTCAAAAGCGCTGCCTCTACCAAGCAATCTGGAGAGAATGGTTTTTGGAGAAGGAAACCTGAGTCTGAAACACTAAGATACGTGACTCTGCACCAGGCAACAACGCTCTAAAAAACACTTGTAAGAACCAGTTTTAGGAGATTTTTATCCAGGGGACTATTAATTAGTTCCTGATGTTTGATCATTGGATTTGCTTTCCCAGCTTTGGAAATGTCTACCTTGTTCTTAGGGCAAAAAAAATCAAGGCTGTCAGTCAGATCAAGTTCTATATAAAAATTATGAAAACTCTTATTTCTGTGAGTGGCATAGAAAAGGGATTGGACCAGACCTGGTGAAACCATGCCTCTCCCTTCAAAATCCAGATTCCACGTAAGCATAGAGTCAGTGAAGTCTGGTGTCTGGCATAGTTTATTATCTGGACTAGTTGAGGCTGGATTGAGAAGCTCCAGATGTGCAGGGTGGGGAGGAGCATTGGTAAGTAGGAGAACAGAGATTTTCTTTTCTATTTTCCTTCAGGTTTTTCTTTTCTGAAATGCTGGTTTTATTCATCTATCTATTTATCTATCTATGTATTTATTTTTACAGCAAATTAACGTGACCACTATTCTGCACACATTTCTCAATGAGGCAAATTCTAATATAGCCTATTTTAAGTGTTTTGGGGTCTGAAAAGTTAGTAGTTCTAACTCTCAAAATAGAGTTGTGAAAAAAATGGACCCCTTTTTCTTAGTAGTTTTCATCTATTGTACAAGAACAAACTATGACATTTATACACCAATATTTTTTTTTTCTGATGCTAACCTAAACGCCACAATGAGCAAGTGAGTTTGAAAAAATTTTAGATCTATTTATTTTTTTTTTTAGTTTTAGATGGACACAATACCTTTGTTTTATTTATTTATTTATATGTGGTGCTGAGGATCCAACCCAGTGCCTCACACCTGCTAGGCAAGTGCTCTACCTCTGAGCCACAACCCCAGCCCCCGAATTTTGGATTTCAAGTGGACACTTCTTTGAAATTTCATAACATATCTTTAAAAAAAGTATCTTCCTACATGACTTTATGTCCATCTTTCTCCTCTTATACCTTATTCTCTTTCCTCCTTTCCTTGTTCCTATTTCTCTTTCTTCTCCTTTCTCTCTCTTATTATCCTTCCTCTATTCTCTCCACTCCTTCCTTTTTTATGTTATATATTTCTACATAGCCTTTCTTGCATTGTCTTTAAATGTCTTATAACTTCCAATATTGGCAGCACCATAGAAACAAAGATTAATCTACTAAGCATTTATCTAAATAGTGATCTAGGTTTAATATTTTCTGAAAATCTCCACATTCAGTCATAAGAGTCCAATTGGGAAAGATTACATCTTCTATTTTTTTTTTTGCATGTGGCTTTAGAAAATAAATTAATGAAATGAATGAACACTAAGTCCTACAAAATGAGAAAACAAAAAGAGCAATAATTAAATTTCTATGTTAAGGATACTTTTCCTTATTTCTCTTTTTATTCTGATGACTTTTATTTTTGACATTTGTCCTTGTCTCTCTTGTTTCTCTCACTCTGTCAGCTATGTTTTCAGATCCTTTGCCTTTTGAAAATGTTCAGTGACAATTTTTAGTTTTATTTAGGGATACTTGCATGAGAACAGTAAATCATCCAACAACAGCACTAGGCCGAAAGAGCTTTTAATCTTTATAGCAATCCTAAACGCAAGTACATTTATCTCTATGTTAACAGATAAAAACATGAAGCACAGAGCTGTAAAGTAAATATTGTGTTGTCAGTAATGGTTAGATTCAGGACTCCAAACTATCTTTGGATTGTCAGCGTATTTCTCTTTCTTTGACTTTAGTGTTTTTCTGTCTTCTTCCTCTTATTTTACCTCTTCCATTTTAACTCCCCTTTGCCTCTTTTCTTCTTCTCCTTCTCTCAGTAAATGTTTTACAAATGTTTACATTTTAGTCATTTTAAACTAAAAAAAAAATGAGCTTAAGTGTAGTGAAGGAGGACTTTTGCTTTCAAGGACTCATAATGTTGAACACAGATAGAGGAGCAGGAGACCATAGTGCAATGGACATTTACCACAATGCCTGGGATTGCTCAGACACAGCCGCACACTTTGAAGTTCTGAAAAAACTGAAAAGTTTCTAGATGACAAAGTAGGAAAAAGAATAACTCACGAAGGATCTCCGTGTGTCCCTCAGTTTTTGTGGGACTTAAATTTAGTCTAACCGTTTTCTTTTTTTAGAGAGAGAGAGGGGAGAGAGAGAGAAAGAGAGAGAGAGAGATTTTTTAATATTTATTTTTTAGTTTTTTCGGTGGACACAACATCTTTGTTTCTATGTGGTGCTGAGGATTGAACCTGGGCTGCACACATGCCAGGCGAGCACACCACCACTTGAGCCACATCCCCAGCCCCAGTCTATCCATTTTCTTCTGGTATATCCACCTACTCTGGTAAAACACATGTGTGCTAGTTTCTGTCCACATCTTACATTGGCTCTTGAAACATGGTGCATAGTATTTTTCTTTTCTTATTTTAAAAACTACACATTTTGGTTTTACTATAGACGATAGAAAACCCATCAGGAAAGTATAGAGAAGAAAATGAATACACCTACCTTGTCATTTGTACAATATGAAGAACAGTTAACATGGTTTTGTGCTCGTTTTTCCTATGTAATAGACTATGTAAATAGGACTTATTTATTCACAAAGTAAAAGTCTTTTTATTAAGAAGGAGTATGACTCTTTTTTTCAGGATAGTTACCTGCAACATAAACTGAATTCTTGGTGAAGATGAATAATGTGACGGAGTTCATCCTTTTGGGTTTGACCCCAAACACGGAGCTTCAGAAATTCTCATTTGTTGTCTTTTTAACTGTCTACTTGGCCACCCTGGCAGGAAACCTGCTCATCATGGTTACCATCAGCACCAGCAGAGCCCTCAGATCCCCCATGTACTTCTTCCTGTCTTACTTATCCCTTCTCGATGGCTGCTGTTCTTCCTCTATGACTCCTAAAATGCTAGCTGACTCTCTTTCTGTGAACAAAACCATATCTTTTCATGGATGTATGGCTCAAGTCTTTGCTGAGCATCTTTTCGGGGCTGCTGAAATTATTTCTCACAGTGATGGCCTACGACCGTTACGTGGCCATCTGTAAACCCCTGCGCTACAGGATCGTCATGAACCACCAGGTGTGTAACCTCCTGGTGGCAGTGGCCTGGGCTGGAGGCTTTGTCCATGCAACCGTTCAGATCCTCTTCACTGTCTGGCTACCTTTCTGTGGCCCCAATATCATAGACCACTTTATGTGTGACTTGAATCCTTTGTTGAAACTTGTCTGCATGGACACCCACACCCTTGGACTCTTTGTTGCTGCCAACAGTGGGTTCATCTGTCTATTGAACTTTCTCCTCTTGATAGTCTCTTATGCAGTCATCCTATACACTCTGAAGTCTCACAGCTTGGAGGGAAGGCGTAAAGCCCTCTCCACCTGTGTCTCTCACATCACCGTGGTTATCTTATTCTTTGTACCCTGCATATTTGTGTATCTGCGCCCAGTGACCACCTTCTCCATTGATAAAGCTGTGGCTGTATTTTATACCATGATAACTCCTATGCTCAACCCTTTAATCTACACCCTCAGGAATGCAGAGGTGAAAAATGCTATGAAGAAACTCTGGGTCAAAAGTTAATTTCAGTGAAGAAACAATCACAAAATGTAAGATCATTTATTCTTCAATTATTGAAGAGAAAAGCCTAAAATATTTAAGGTTGTGAGCTAAGTGATGAATATGTCGAAGGTGATATTGTTGGTATGTAACTCCTATGAGTAAAGGCTTAGGCAATACATCGTTTTTCATTATGAAAATATCCCATTCAGGTTCATTTACTGCCTGTTTGGTAATCAAGCTTTTGTGCACTGTCGAAGTTAGTTAATATTCTTGTCAAAGTGCATATTTCCAGGATATAGCTCTAGAAATATAGCAGGACCACTAGTGGACAGGTATATATGCATTTTAAATAAATTATCTAGAAGTTTTTAAATGGGTAATCTACATACATACTTTGAGCAATACTGGTATAAATTATGCTTGCACCCTTATCCTATTAATGAATCATCTTCCTAAAGAGTTCCTGGAAAGTATCTTTCATTGTAGAAAATATGAGAATTATGAACTCTCAATTTTTCATAAATCATGCAATGCATATTCACTGCTTTTGTAATTTCACAGTAAAAATGAAGTATTCTGGGCTGGGGCTGTAGCTCAGTGGCTGAAGGCTTGCCTAGCATGCATGAGGAACTGGGTTCTGTCCTTAGCACCACATAAAAATGAAACAAAGACAACTACAAAAAATTAAAATGAAGTATTCTGAAAACACGGAGAGATTATGAATATTTATTTTTCATCTTCTCTTCTTGTTCATTCTAATTTTTGTCTTCTCTGGTCTGATTCTTTATGCCTTTTCCTCCAAAGTGCAAATTTACCATGTATTAAAGATGCATTATTTTGACTCATACATAATAATCCTAATTGGTCCTTCACTCTGGGAGCCTTGTTTTCAAAGTTTTGCTTTGTGAAGATAATTTTTGAAAGCACATTTTTGTGGAATGGGTAATAGTCTTCTGTCACGGTTAAGAGCAGAGATTCAGAGGTCCAAACTTAGTTTTGCCATAGATGGTATGTTTTTTTTCAATCACACTTCTATAAGTTTGGGTTAAAGAGGGATGATAGAGATATTTTCAGAATCAAATACATAATCCTTGTAAAGTTCTTAATACTAAATGCTTAAGAGCACTTAGCTGTTATGAGCATTCTTTGTTATTGGGGTCTCTGTAACTAAAATCAAGCCTCATTTATCTATTTTTTTAACTTTAGAAGGCATGATCCATAATTTCTGTCCCTGCTGTGATGAATAATACTTTGAACTGACAGGTATTGCAGGAATTTTAGGGTCTGGCTGTGCCTGTGCATGCCTGTTCATTGCTAAGCTGTTCCCTCCTGGTTTTCTGATCCCTTTTGGTCCCATACCTTTGTCCTTGGGGTTGATCCACTTATGGATTTGGCTGTCCTCTGACAAGCCTTGTTTGAAGGATCAACAGATGATTTTATTGTGAATCTGGGTCAATTGTTAGGCAACCAGAATATGAAAAGACGTGAAGTGAGACATTGTTCAGAGAAGATCATGTGGCACAGAGATAACAGCCATCTCTGGAGTCAGATTCCCTGAGTTCAGATGTGACCTGGACAAATTGCTTAATCTGTTTATCTTGCATTTTCTTCATCTGTGGAAATGAGACTGATAGTTCCTCTCTCATAAATGTGTGGGTTCAACTAAATGAATTAATATTTGCTAAGTGCTTATTATCAGGTCAGACACATGGTAAATACTGTGAAAGTGGTTTTTTAAGGGCAAATATTATTGACTGATGCTGACCCAATGTCTAGTTGGTCAGATTTTGCCTTATATATCATTTAGAAATAGCAGAATCCTCATTATATCTGTATCAGACCCTCTGTGGATCTTGCCCTTATCCCTTTCTCCTCAGGTAAAAAAGGTATCTTCTTTTTGTATTGATTCTTTTTAGTTACACATAACAAAGGATCCATTTTGACATCTTCTTTTATGAGCAATATTATGTCATATAACTTTTCCCTTTAACTTTAGGCAAGGAAATTATTGACTCAAAGCACCATTATTTTGGTATCGGAAAGTCCTGCTGAAGGTTTGGATGATGTGGAAGGATTTGGGATAGGAGATCAATAGAGCTGGGATTGGGTTCTCTTTGACTGGCTTATGTAACATTGTGTGTATTTCACAATCTCTCAAAGTTTATTTTAATCTTAGTTCATAATGTGTATAATTAAAAGTTCATATTATAAGTCCATAATATGTATAATTAGTTCATAATATGTATAATTTTGGCATATGTACTATAGTTAGTACATATTCCATAGAATTACTTTAATTAAGCCTTGGATGAGATATTGCATACAAAGTATAAAGGATAGTGCTTGTCACTCAGTGGGTATGTAATAAATATCATAATCTTCATTGTTTTCTTTTTTCTTCATCAGTGTCTCATTTCCATCTGTCTTCTTAAAAGAACTTCATGATTTATGTTTATTTTTAACTATATGTAGATATGGTATTAGGAGACTATGAAGAACTTTATAAATTCTTAGAATAACCATCTATTCCTCAAATTAATGCAAGATGTATAACATGAGCTGTGAACAGTTCACCTTTTAAAAAACTGAACTTCTACAAAATTAAAAACATGTTGAGAAAGACCTCAAAATTTAGTACAGATTCAAATTTGTTAGACTCCAAACATAAGTGAGATCATGTGGTAGTTTATTTTCTGTTCCTGGCTTATTTTATTTATTATAATGACATCCAGTCCCTTTCATGTTGCTGTAAATGACAAGATTTCATTATTTTTTGTTACAGAATAATATTCCATTGTATATATGTACCATATTTTCTTTAACCAATCACCAGTTGATGGACACTTAAGTTCTTCCATTTCTTGGCTGTTATACATAGTGCCTCTGTGAACCTGGCAAAGCAGATAGCTCTTCAATATACTAATTTAATTTCCTTTATATATATATACTCAGAAGTGGAACTGCAGGATCATATGATAGTTCTATTTTTGAATTTTCAAGGAACTTCCATGCTGATTTCCACAGTGGCTTTATTAATTTACATTCCCACCAGAAGTGTTCAAGGGTTCCCTTTGCTCCACATCTCTGCAAGCACTTGATTTCATAGAAGTTGAGTAAAATTTTTTTCAGAGGCCAGGAGTAGTGAGGATGAGAAAGAGAAAGGTTGATCAGAGGGGAGTACATTTCATTTAGAAGAAAGGAGTTCTACTGTGCGATTGCAGAGTAGAGGGACTGTACATCATAATGACGTACTGTACATTTTTAAAAGCTACAAAAAGGGATTTTGAAAGCTTTCACCATAAAGTGATAAATATTTAAAGATATAAATATTTTAACCTGGTTTAAACATTGTACCATGTATACACATATTGAAACATTACATGGTATCACATTAATATGTGTAACTTTTAATATCTATGCACCCATTAAAGTAGATTGAAAAAGAAATTAAGCTTAAAAAATGAAAAATTAGGAAGCTGTACTACCATAACTCAAAATTGCAGTAAAACCTACTACAACTTACTACTATGTGGCTCATGTTACAAGTCTCATTTAGTCCCCACAAGAGCCTTCTGAAAGACATAAGGTTTTTCCCCTGGTTTTCAAATTGATTGATGGAAGCTTGGAAAGTTAAAATGAGTTCCTTTAGGTCACAAAGGTAGCAAATACCTGAGGGGAGATTTGACTCTGTGAAGCTTTGTTTCAAGACCTGTGCTCTCAAACCCTGCAGTATATACCATAATAATGAGATGAACCCTAATTGAGGGACTTTCTACTGAGGGATATGGGCAATATGTGCATAAACATACTCAAAAGGGATAAACCCAGAGCGGAAATGCCTTTAAAAAGTGAAACAAATGATAAGATAGCAACTCAGAAGGTAGAGGTGCCACTTTATGTTGGGTATTGAAAGAAGATTCCAGAACAAGAATTATAGTGTTTATCTAACCATGTCAAGAATGGAGACAATAAGCAAAGGCCTGAGTAAAACCACTAGCAAGGAGTTTCTGTATATGCGAAGGGGAATTTTACCCAGCCTGGAAGAATGTCATTACTCTCTTCCAACTTTAGTTCAGTTCCAATTAAAATCAGGATAAAATAGGTATTCAAGCAACCATCCTGCTCCCTCCTCCTGGAAGACTTGGGGTACACTTCCTGGCAGTTGCTCTTTTTTTGATGAACTCTAGTGTTGTCAACATTGATCTCTACTTTCTTTTCTCCTTTTATTACATTTTTTTAAAAATTTTTTGGTACTGGGGATTGAACCCAGGGGCACTTAACCACTGAGTCACATCCTCAACCCTTTTTTATATTTTATTTAGAGATAAGGTTTCACTAAGTTGCTGAGGCTGGCTTTGAACTCATGGTCCTCCTGACTCCGCCTCCCAAGCTGCTGAGATTACAAGCATGTGCCACCGGACCCAGATGATCTCTACTTTCCTTCTGCATTGCCTTCTTTTATTTTAATTTATATTGCTTCCATGTGAAAGCATTGCCTGAAAAACTGCGCTGATCAGAAGAAGGCAAACTAGGGATGTGGTTATAGCTCAGTGCTAGAGCACTTGCCTAGCATGTGGAGGCACTGGGTTCAATCCTCAGCACCACATAAAAATAAATAAATAAAAGGTATTAAAAAGAAGGAAAGCTATCTTTTTAACTAAATTTACATGAAATGGTAATTGACATGTTCATGTTCTATCAGAGGTGGAGCCATTGCGTGCAACTCTTAGATATTTCCTGGTATTGCTCCCTCCCTTGGTCAGCATGCTCCTGCTGCAGTGGCCTTGTGTTTGAACTCAGCCCTTTGTACTAGCTCTACTGGATGCTCCTCCTCTAGACCTGCTGCCGGCTGGGCCCATGCCGGCTGGGCCCACTGCTCAGTCTGCAGTTTAGAGGTCTCCACCACCACGCAGAGCCATTCTCTGAGTTACCTCCTGTCCCATCACTCTGCCCAAGTGGAGGCATCGATTGTTTTGTTCACTCCTGGAATCCCAGCACCTAGAATCAACGTGGTACAGAGT